CGCAGGTTTCTGAAGGGGACCCAGCCCGTGCCCCCCTCTCCGAACGGCTCGGGGCGCCACTCAACCTGCAAAATAACGCATTGAGGGAAGTGATAACAGAGAGCTAGAAAGGGTCGATTTGTGTTCTCGCTGTTTTTGCACCTTTTCAGTCTCAAGCGGTCAGAAGATAAAGAAGCTGAGCCGGGGAACGAACCACAAGGGGGCTGTCGCTGATATTACCGCTCTCGAGCGGTTTTGATATGGGAACGCCGTAGTACAACAACGCTTCTTCAGACAGGATGTCGACCTCCTAACCTAGCACATGGTCAACCAGATTCCAAATGTGAAACAAAGTCCTGTTTTGCAGGTGCCACTAGTTGGTCGGATGAACGAGAACCTATTTCTGACGAAGGCCTCGAGTTGAAACTACATGTTGTGACTAATGATTATCCCTGTGCCAAAACTGGGCTCAGTTCAAGAAAAGGCTGGCTTACCCGTGCGCGCTTTCCGCTGATCGCCCGGACGGTGCCGCTCCACCAGCACTCCAAGACATAAGCGTCGACCTTATCACCCTTGGCATACCTGGACGAAGTCGGACGGTAGCATCATTCATCGCCTAAGTTTCGGAAGATCTCACTTCTGGAGATCCGTTGTCTTGATAAGGAACCGGACGACCTCGCCGGAACTTGGATATTAGGCAATCGGACGCAACATGTCGCACGAGGTTGGTTCTGCTGCGCGCCGAGGCTAAAGCATCGGACCGTCCTGTTCGTTGTTCCGGGTCTTTTCATTGGGCACATACTGGTGCTTGAAAACGGTGTGGAAATACACCACAAAGTACTTCAAGTATTGCCGGCTTGTCAATGGAAGCACCTTCCGTCTTCACTCATTTATGCCTAACCGACGAGCAGTACGAGTAGTACGGGTCTACCGAACAGGCAAGCCACCACGTAATATCGAGGCTTTTTCGACCATCATGCCTGGAGAGATTATTTCGTCAGTACTACTCGTGGGGTAACACAGTACGGCAACTCTACTTCGATGAATAAAGCAAGCCGCCATTCAAACCCGCGAGATTCTGCACCCTTTCGCCTTTCTGCATCACCTTTCCTGAACCCGAGCCCTCCTGTGTCCTTCTTAATGGTGGTGCCTTTTCTGCGAAGTACAGCCATCCAGCTTACTGGCGCTCGTGCTTGAAGACGGGCTGATCTGTCTGCCCCGGATTCGGTGCGTCCTCGCCAAAAGGGATGTTCCGGGGTGGAATTGGTCGCACCATGAGGTAGCGCGAGCCTCTGTCGTTCGGGTCGACTTGGTACAGGCACATTTTGGACGGCTCTGCAATGCAGCACATGTGTCGACTCAGTGGTTGCCAATGCACTATCTTAGACGGGCTTGATTTGAATGCTTAAAATGAACAAACGTGCATTTGGATACGACAGCACCGCCTCTCTAGCACTGGCATAAATAAACGTGCATTTGATACGAAGGCACCGCCTCCCTGCTAGAGAAGAGGCACAAATACAGAGATGAAGAAACGTAAAATAAAGAAGGGAAGCATGAGGGAATGAGGATGAAGGAAGAACTTACTATCGTCTGGGTAGGACAAATTCCTGATTGTGACCTGCTGTGTCGGCATACTTCGGTCGGTGTGGAAGGCGACGACCTGCAGGCCAAATGTAGGACCTTTGATACCCGGTAACTCTAGTTCTATCACGTGGAAACTTTCTAAACAAGGCGCCCGAGAGATGAGTGGGGGTTGTTTGGGGGTAATGGAGGGTTCACCATGGAGCGCGTAAATTGATGGGTTTGGGCGTTGAGTGTCAGTAATTGAAAATCCGAATCTAAGAGGAATGACTAGTTTGATATGGGAGTTACCTAGATATGTCCCTGAATGTGTTGAAATGTTTTGTCGCCGACGTCAAGGCACAAGTGTCTGCTTCTCCACACTCGCACAGCAAAAGGTCTTCCTTCATACCTGTGGCTTTCAGCTTCATTTAGACCTAGTCTTCCACAATAGCAGGCCATGATCCATGCAGCCACAGACGATCAAGAATTAACGGATTAACGTATTAATGGATTATTGGTGATTAACGGCGATTGCTACTGGCGCTATCAATCAAATGAAGTGTTGAATGTTGGGCAGATTGACTCGCACTTGTGCCCCTTCTAGCCATCCTTTGAGCACGATCCAAAAGTGTATGGTTGTAAGTAACATTGTTGTAGTTACTTCATCCAACAGGCACGCTCCAAATCTCAGAAGAATCTGTGATTTACCTCTTGGCAAATTGCAAATTGCCATATGAACACCAGACGCTTGTATACCTTATTATTCACAAATGTGGCCACTCAAGAGCTCAATCTTGCGAGTATTTGTCACACCAAATTCTTAAAGTCAGAAATTGAAGAGTAGAAGCCAGTCAATACTCCGACCGGAACGACAACCAGATCCCCAACCAGACAACTTACAAATCAGATGCAGGGAACTTGCCGCATTCACAATACAAGTTCACTGCGCATCAAAGACGTACCCACATTCACGGTAATATGCTCTGAGAACTAGAACTAGGGAACTAGAACAAACTAAGGACTTGACCCTGTTCCGACCTTCAAACATACCCTTCGACCTCCCAGCCCCCCCCTCACCTCACTGAGGAACCAAGCCCCCCGGAACCCCGTCTGAAAGGATCGCGTCTCAATGACAGCGCCCTTCTCAAAGGGCTGCGGAACAAAGAGCTCCTCTCCCGCAGGGAAGCTGTCAGGAACACTCAGGTGCGTCACCGCACGCTTCCGCCACTCCTCTCTAGTTGCCCCAGCGCCTCCGACCGCCATGATTGCGCCGGGCGGGGTTTCAGCTGAGGCGCGCTGATGTCATGGAGTGCCTTGAATGTACCTATCTGAGTCAGCTCCAAGTAAGCGCAGCCTACCTTTGCTGGGGCAATCAGATTTGCTTGCTGGCTTGGATTGAATCCAAGTTCTAACAGTTTTACAACAGCTGCTATACCTGTTCAGTGTAAGCAAGGCAGAGAAGACGTAAGGACTTGGCTTGGAAGGTTGACAGGGGTGTTTGCACAACGGGCACATTGCTGAGCTCCTCTTGCTTCAAGAATCTCATAGAATCCAGACAAAAGGGTCTTCCAGCTAAAACATCCGCTCTCCCATCTAGGAGGGACAAAAATGGCATTGAAGAAGGCTTTCAAAGTTACACAGCCTTTCTAACCGCTTGTCTCGAAGCAAGGCGCCTTTTCCCCTTCCAGGATTCAACCTTTATGCACCACTTTCTCACCATTTTCTCACAAAACCTCAAAACTTTCATGGCAATGCAGTGCCAGCAGTTCCATGCATGATCCGCCTCCCGTCCAGATTCCGGTCACAATCATTCCGTTCAGATCGAGAAGGTGGATTAGAGGCGTGTTCCGGTCTTCCGTGGCGGATCGATTCCTGGTCCAGTCTGAAATTGGAATCCAGCCTCAAGAAGGCAAGCATTTTAGCAATTTCAGGGCGCCATTCGGCATTGAATTTGAATCAGCATTCGGAACAGCAGTTTCGGGGCAGGCTTCCCGGTTGTGTTCGATAGATAGGGTGTATTTAGTCTAAACTTACGCTAAATTTAGACTAAGTTTAGTTGCATTACCAGACCAATTGACGTCATAGATGAGACCAATATTGATACGTGGCAAAAATCGGCGCGTCAGATGGGCCCTGAGCAGCGAATCTACGGCTCGGTGTTCACCTTGGTTTTAAATGACGTCAAAGCAAAAGCTAAAACTTAGACTAAATAGCCTATACACAGACTAGATTTAGACCCTAAATACACCCTATCTATCCAACGCAACCGGGAAGCCTGCCCCGAAACTGCTGAAGTCCAGCCGCAACGGGTCAGTCAATTGAGCAGGCTGTGCAACGGAACTAGCATTCACAGAAAGCGCTTCTTCCACATCTCCATACTTGAAAGTGTGAAGAAGGGTGTGGTGGTGTAATCATTTGATTAGAACCGACCATTTAAAACCATGGCGGCATCTCAGGTTGTTGCGCGTTTGGGCTTGTTCCATCCTGGTCTGCAGCGTGCTGAAATTGGAGAAGTTGGCAAGCAGAGGTCTGAGCAGCATTGTGTAGGAAGCTTGCAGAAAGGAGGTTATGGGAGAGTTATGTTGCATTGGTGTGAGTTGCAAAAACACAGAGGCCTTTCAGGGGGTACGAAGGCGTTAAGAGAAAGGCCCGCATACCTTGAAAGACGAGGCGGCAAGGGCCAGAGACGAGTTGTGAAGTGCATGGCAGAAGTGGACAACGAGGTTGGGGAGAAGCCGACCAAGGGCAGCTCGCAACTGGAGCAGCTTGAGCAGCTTGGCTTTGGGAGCAAAGGAAGCGGAAAGAAAGGTGAGCAACGTGCCTCTTCTCCTTGTCAAGAAGGAGGACGCTGCTTTTCCTGCTCATCATGTGAGAAGAAATCGCCATAAACCAAACCTAGTTAAGGGGCCCTGAGCAAGGCCTTGTTGAGAGAAAACTTGTTGCTGTTACTACCATGCCCCAACTGACATGAGAAGGATGCCAACAATCAGAACGACGCGTCGTAATGTCAAGCCCACTCTTAGCACAAGTTCACCCCCAAAGCGGAGTGAAGCGCAAACCAAGGAGCATGGAGTAGTCGGCCAAAAAGACATAGTGGCAACAAATAAGGAGGGGGGGGAACTGGCCGTTGCAAATCACACTTTCAGCGTGTCCTTGACTAAGCATTTCACATTCAGTCTGGAACTTGGGGAGCCTCATACAGAATACTTGTACTCACAAGGTGCAACAAACAGCCAGAGGCGAAGGAAAAGCAGGAATGTTACGCAAAAACAATCTTTATTAATTGCCTTATCCATCTCCTTAACTAGGAGGGAAAGCGACCACTGTCCGGAGGCCCGCCCCGGAAAGACCGGTGATTGCTCCTTCGAGTACGGAGCCAAGTCAAGAGCAGGTTTATGAGCAGTACTACGTCGTCAGCCTTGCGATCCTCTTCGGAATCATCATTGCAATGGGGATTGCCCTCGCGGCGTCAGGTGAGCTTCCGAAATGCCCAATACTGTCCTTTCTAAACCTGTCTGTAGACTGTGCTTCTTTCGCTTTTTTCTCTCCTTTGAGAAAGGGAGCACTGCTCCTTTGCTGGTCGTGTGCCCTCGATAACCACCGCTCAGAGTGTTCTTACTAGCCCCAAGAAAGGCTGGCGCAGGCTCTTGAACGACCTTATAGCACTGATCTGGTACCCGAAAGTTTGAATCATGCTGAGCGATCAAGGACTCACAAAGAAGTTCGCCATAGTTTTATCATGGTCTGTGGCATACCGGAGTGCTTTGAAATTCTAATTTTCACGTACCATGTATCCTTTGGCAGCTAGTCCGAAAAACCTTTTGCAAACCTTCCAGCAGCAGATTGTGAGACCTTTTCTGACATGTTCCCGTTCTTTCTGTTGACAGGCTTCTTCCCTGAGGATATAGACGACCTTGTTCTCAAGTATGTATACCCTAGCTTCTCTCCTACAATCGGCGTTTTCTTGTTGGGTTCAAGTTTATACGGGGTGTACAAGTACCTCGGTGGGGCCAAGCCCAACAGCTAAGTGAGCGATCGCAGTTGCAATCTTTGATGGTTACAGACTGACCAACACACCGTTTTTTTGACATTTTCCCCGCTTATTCATTCAAACATGCTATGGGCCTCCATGAAATTTCTGCCCGTCTCAGTCCACAGTACTAGGCTGTGTTCACGGAGCTGTCCAGACTCGCAATGTTTACAAGGAAGCAGAGAATGGTTTCGCCGATCCTTATAGCTAGAAAAGTCTACGCACAGACCTTTCGCATGGATCTCCACCTCACCCATGTGCATGTCTGTCACTACATCAAGTCCATGCTAAGAAGTGCATGACAATTAGAGTTCATCAAGTTATTAAACGAACACGAGCTGCCATGATCGAACTCCTTAAAGATGCATGTGATATCACCAAAATATTGCATGGAAGAAAAGCGCTAGCAATTATTAGCATGATACACCTTTGGAAATCAGCCTGTTCATACAAGACAAGATCATCGTCGTGTGCATATAAATTTAGTTTTTCGATTGAACCTGTGGGACCAACATCCAGCAGGCCGCGAGCTATATCGTCTGGAGTTATAGGCATGCATGAAGATGACCGCATGGACCGTCCATAGAAAGCCAGGGACGGTGGCGATATACAGGACCATCGTAACATATGGCGGCCGCCCCAGAGTCGTTTGAAAGGGACTCGAGAATGAGACCAATCAATCTGTGGCGGTTGGCGCACACTCAGCGTGGATACGTGATTCGAGAAGCTTGCGAAGTTCGGCCTTGCATGGAATCTGCACATCCACAGCGATCCGTCGCTTTAAGCGTGTCTTCGTCTGCGGTTTGACTAAATGGGAGACCAACACCACCAAGGTCTCTGTCACGAACGAGTCGGGATACCTTTGCAAGTGCGTACGCTTATCAACCCTCCAAACTTTGAAGGAAACAACCCTTCAAACATTCTCTTATAGCATCCCCTGCAACAAGTCGTCGAAGTCCCCCTCTCCGTAATCCTCGTCCGTATCATACCCGTCCGCCGACGAGCCCCCCCCCTCGCTGCCATACTCGCCCCCATCGTCGCTCCCCCCCTCATCGCTCCCCTCGTCGCTTTCCTCCATTGCATCGAGCATCGCATCCACTTCGTCGTCTTCTTCCGACTCCTCCCCCCCGCTGCTGCTGACGTCATCGTCCCCATCGTCCCCCCCCTCCGCGAGCTCTCGCAGGAGCCGGGCGGCGACCCCCCCGGCGCCGTCGTTTTCGTCGTCCTCCGCTTCGGAGATGTCGCCCTCCCCCCCGTCCTCGTCTTCCTCCTCCTCTTCCTCCTCGCTCTCGTCATCTTCTTCCTCGTTGACGTCGACGTCCGAGTCGCCGTCGTCCGGTCGCCGCCGTCCAATTTCGTACACCTTCAGATCAGAATACGGAAAAGGATGAGAGAGCGGCCAAGAGAAGGAAAGTTGCGGATGAGGAAGTCTAAAAATGTCATCATCAGGATGACGTACACCCAGATAACCCAACCGATCTTCGACCATATGTTCCGCTGCGCCCCTGATCTCTGAGCCGAGAGCGGAACGACCATCAGTAACAGGCTCAATCCAAGAGCACCCAAATCGGTTTCATCTACCTTCTTTTCTTCTCACGTTCGTTTTGTTCTTTTCTTCTCGCTTATATTCGAGTCACAACATTTCTTTGCCTCTCCTTTGCCTTTCCTTTGCCCTGATTGACTCAAAGGCTTTATTTGTACCTTCATATTTATCCTAAGTGACTCTGTCTTGCTGAGAACGCACCTTGACATTGCTCTCGATGCCCTGGCCGTCGATCGCCACCGCGCCGACGTACGAGTCCGTCGGATCGACCGCCAGGTCCAGCACGCACCGGTCCACCGGCACCGTCGCGATGTCCGAATAGTCCGTAGCGTCCAGCGTCCGAAACGCCGCCCAGAGCGGGTGACGTTGGCGTTTCGGATTGAGCGCCGCGTTCAACTCGTCGGAGCTCCGGCGGAGGATTGCGTAGATGACGTCACCGGTGGGGGAGAAGGAGATGGTGGTGTTGTCGAGCGAGGCGACGGAGCGCAGCAGCTTATGGGTGCGGAGATCCCACACCTCGCTGTTGATGATCACCTGCATTTGGACAACAATTCCAATCGTCTGGGGTAATATATAGTGGAGCAAGTTTGTGACTTTTGAGCTCATGCGGAGATATATGGAGTATATAAAGCCAAACGAATCCATCATTGTAGGCCTGTCGAATTCTGGGGTTTTGAATAATGCTTCGCGATCTGCGCATCTGGAGGACCCGACCGCAGTCGGGTGTGCCAGATGCGCTCGAGTACTGCAGCTTATGGGTGCGTAGATCCCACACCTTGCTGTTAAAAACCCCTGCATGTTCGAGAGTGAAACACTCGGGCTTAGTTCGAAAAAACCACCCATAAACTCAATCCTCGCGGATAGGAATGCAACTCCGGGTTCGCTTTAAGTGGAGCTACCGCTGTTGATAATCACCTGCATCTAGAAGAGCCAAGGAATCAGCATTGGTCTCAGTAACCCATCGATGATCTCAAAACTTTACGGAATTAAGAAAGAAATCAGGACCCGCGTCAAGTAAAGAAACAGAATACAGCTGTCGATGATCAGCTGTGGTAGGCACAACTTCTTGAATCCACATTCAAGTGTCACGATCTCGTGCGTTTTGAACGACATTTTCAGTCGTCTTTTGACTGTGACAGAAAACGTTGTTGCAATTTTGGGCTGGGGTTTTCCGGAGCCTCGGATACTGCTTAGGAGCTTGTGCATCCAGAGGTCCCACCCAGAAACGGGTCAAGGGAAGTATCTGAGTCCTGCGGGACGGGCTGGAGACATAAAAGGAATGTGATCATACGTTGAGCAGAAAAAGTGCCGAAACCCCTCAGCAGAAGCGTAACAAAACCCTGTTAACCGAGGCGCCATTCAGCTGTCCAGGACAGTCTTGCTGACGTCAACCATATGAGTAGGTGAGGTCAAAGAGACCGCCTGCGTTGCTGTGTGCCTCCTTAGAACCAACTGTGTCGTCATAGCCCCACACAATTGGGAATAACGAAGGCTCATCAAGAACCTGCATCTTTGCGCCACACAGCAAAGAATGGTCCGAATTTCAAGGAGGAATCGAAACCGTCGATCTGCAGAACGATAGCTGAGGCGGAAACTTGGACCATTCAAGAATGTTAATGTTATGTTGGGAGCCTAAATACAAGTCTCTGAAATCTTACCCCGGCATTCTGAAACATGCTAACCGAGCTGGAACCTGGACCCTCTGATTTGATTCGACAGCCTAACATAATATCAGAAAACCAAACGTCGAAAATCGCGGATCCGTGCCAAAACCCGGATCCTTCGACCCTGTGATTCCACCAAATCCCTAACACCTAACAAATCATAAATAAAGCTAAGCGTACCTCGTTCCCAGCGGGATGGAACGCCCCTCCCCCATAGTCCGTAAACTGGTCGAAGCGGTGAACTCCCTTTGGTAACCGGTGGTCCCAAAGCACTCCCCCCCAGAGGATCAAACTGTCGTCCGGGCTGAAGTACGCGTTCGAATGTCCGCCCAAACCCCACCGAGTTCCGTTTCCGGGGGGGTTGCTCGAATGCGAGTCGGTGAGCGTTAACTCGAGGTTGCCGCTATTGACGTCGTACAGACGAACCTGTGAAACGGAGCGGGTCTGGTTTCTTCATCAAACTAAGTTCGTATGGGGATTGAGGGTATTCGGCTTCAGGTAAGGCAATAGTAAACTCAAGAGTGCCGCTGCTCCATTCAACGTGCAGACCGAAAAGGATACTGAATGGATGATACTTATCACTGATTTACTATCGAGTGGCAAACGCCCTTCCTTGCTATTTGATTTCAGAAGCAAAAATGAGGAACAAATGAAAGTAAACCCTTAAAGGTCCGCACAAAACCAGTGACAAAACAGCATCAGACCTACCTAAAGTACAAGCACTAGAACCTTGAAAAACAGCAATGGACCCTCGCAAAAGACAACAAAAGACCTTTTGAACGACAAAGTAGACCCGGAAAAAGACCGTGCACTTTGGTCTCCTTACCTGCGGCGGCCCCGACTGCCGCTGCTCGACCGCCACGATCCGCGTCCCCGCGGTGTTAAACCTCCCCGACCGGCATCCCTCGAACGTTTTCACACTGCCCATGTCCAGGTTCTCCGCAACCCACAGCTTAACCTCTCGCCTCGTACTCGACAGAAGCCACGCGCCGTCGCCCCCGGGCTTAACTGCGGTTTGCAGGAGATTAACCGCGTTCTCCTCGTGACCCGCGTACGTCTCGATGACGTCACCGCTGCCCGCGTCGAAGAGCCGGATCTCGCCCACGTGGCTGCCGACCGCGAGGCGCGACGAGGCGTCGGCGGTCGGGAGGAAGACGGCTGACGTCATGATGGTGGACTCCTCCTCGCGGCAGGTGCGCCAGGGGCGGAACCTGCGGGTTATTACAGAACGCGATTAGCGACTTATTTGACTCGTGCTGAATTTGACTTTCTGTAAAGGCGCTGATTCGAGTTCGTTCCGATTCTAGGTTGGTTTGCTTACTACTAAACAACTTGCTTGCAGAATCTCACACTTACGTGGTCACAAGAACAGCAACAGCAGAATGAGATGATGATTGCTTGTAAATAGAATTAGAGATTCACAGGCTTCGACTCTGGAAGCAAAGTTTTCGTAGTTTCTCCAAATGATTCCTCATTCAAGGAAACGCCCGCCAGATCAAAGGTTTGAACCCTCTACGACCGACATGGCACTGCATTGAAGCTCAACTGAGGAAGCAACCGCTCAAGATGAGTGTAATATGCACTTCCGAACCCGCATATTGTCGTGGATCACTTCGATTAGCATTTGTCACAGCAAATCAAAGTGCGGCAACCGCGTCTGCTTCGAACTCACCTACTGTACACCATGTGCTTTTCCTGTCTCCGCCCACCCATCCCCCCAAACCGAGGGCTCCACTGTCTCGCCAACAGTCTCGCGCTGAAGTTCGCAGGTGCATCGAGCGGCCGCCTCGGCTCCGGACAAACGTGGTTATGGTGGAGAGACAGCGGAGGGAGAGTGGTTATGGGCGCGGGGCATAGCCTATGCTGCTGTTTGAGGTACTGGGTGACGATGGAGTCAAGCGTGGTGGTAACGGTTGGGGGCTCGTTACCATTACCGCTCCCACGCTCGCTCGTGAAGGCCGACTCGAGGTATTGGGAATCTGACATGGCGGGAAGGGTAGTGGTTCGGTTTGGGGTGTTGTTTGCGTACTGCCAGTAATACGGGTTGATGGCCGACTGGTCGGGCAAGGGGTTAGGGCAAACTGCTGTGGGCGTTCTGTAGACGTGCGGTTTTGACTCCGACGCGGGCACTGCACCGGGGGGCAAGTCCGGCTCAGGGGACACGGTTCGCCTCGCCCCCCCGAACCGAGACTCCCCGGTGTTCAACCGCTTCCGGGGGGGTGAGATCGGCTCCGTTGCTTTCCGTTTACAGAGAGGGGTCCGTTGAGGGGTGCTCACACCATCTGCTTCGGGGGGGGACAACGGCCCCTGTTCGGCATTGGGATCTCGAACGTTGGCCGCGATCGAGAGGGATCGCTTCGTCAGATTTGAGCCGGCTCTAGTTGCTCCAGCGATAACCCCGCTTGTTCCGGGTTCAGTAGAGCCTACCAGAAAGCCGGTCGGGGTGGCGTTGGAGGGGAAGGGTTTGAGCTCTTTAGCAGTGGACTGAGGGCCCGTCTCTGAGCCGGTTTCTTCGTCCCCCTTAGAAACGAGGGGCAAGTGGGCTTCTTGTTGGAGTGCGGCTGCGGCCTTGTCGAGACCGCAGGCCGTGAGATGCTCCTGCAGGAAGGAAGAACGGCCCAATCAGGAAGAATGTGAATCCGGCCTCGTGCAAGCCTTCCATGCCATCTCAGGATCGGAAAGGGGTCGCTTTCCTTGACAACGGAGCAGGAACGACCGGGGTCCACACAAACCGCATCCACTTAGAAACGTCTGCCATTTTCGAACAAGCTAAAAGCTCTGATAAGGTAGTCCTTAACCCAATGTGATTTCCAAGCGCCAGCTCGACACGAGCTCTGACTTTCTATTTAAAGTTCAGCCAACCGCATGCGTGAGACCTGGCTTTGCAATCGGTCATAAAGACATTCCTCCAAAGTCGCCTGCTGGGTTGTCGGAAACACTCGGAAGCCGCTTGCAACCGGCTGACGGTTGTTCGCTTCCCGCCAGCTCTGACGTGAGCCTTTATCATGAATGTGGGGCATCTCGATCAGCACGTGGGCCAGAGAAGGACATACTTATAACTTGATAACTTAAAACAAGGAAGGACACCGACAGCGAGTGACCAAATCTCGACATACAGACTCACATGGATAACCTGCAGGAGCTCCTGCGGGGGATAGCTTATCGGGGTCGCGGCTGCTATCGCCGCCTTCTCGATCCTCCGCATCGTCGGCGCCGCCGCCTCGCTGGCGGCCGCAGCGCTCGCGCCCTTCGTGCTTACGCCTGCTGACGTCAGCGCAATCAGGTCCAGCGCCGCCTTCTTGAACACGCTCGGCCACTGGGGCGCGGATGACGTCATCGCCGCATCGGGAGCGGGAGTGCCGGCGTTGCGCGAGGCTTGGGTTCCGGACGGGCGCTGGGGGCCGTACGACTCGTAGTCGCGGACGAGTTCGGACAGCATGCGTCCGACCTGGAAACAAGGGAGATACAAACACGCAATGAGCAAAGACTTTTCTTTGCTTTGCTCTGATGTTTAGTACCCCCTTCTGCCTCTCCTTCGACGCAACCAGGGTGATCAGAGGCCGCCCTGAAGGGTCCAGCACTGTGCTTGGTCTACCATAAAGGCCAAGCGTGTCAACAGCACTTCGGATGAGATTACTCTTCTATCGACAGGACAAGTCTCTGCAGATATGAAATCTCTCTTCAGTCATGCACAAAGTCTTCCTCTGACAGTGAATGCAGCACACGAGAGCACGGCTACACAAGCAAGCCCTCCTTACCTGCAATTTGATGAGAAAGTGCGCGATCACCGGGTCCGGGCCCGAAGGCGCTTACAACTCTCCTCTTTTGCATTTGTAGCTAATCCTTGACTATAACCAGGTCTGACAAAGGTATTTGAATGAGCTGAGGTGAACGGATGAACAGAAGAAGATGACCCCACTTACCTGCAACTTGGTCAGGATGTCCACGATTGCCAAATCTCTCGCAAGCCCCAAAGCGCGTGAGCGAGCTTGTTCGAACAGTCTCAACCGAGAACATATGGAAAGAAGAAAAACTTTCAGAGGACAACTTTCAGAGAACAGCTTGGAAAGATGCTTCCCCCCTCACCTGCAATTTCGTCAAAATGTGCGCAATCGCCGGGTCCCTCGCCAGGCCCAAAAGCGCGTGGCACGCAAGCGCGCGCACCACATCCGCCGTCCCGGGGGGGAGCGCCGTCCGCGGGTGAAGCAACGACAGCAAAACCTTGATTCCGTTGTGCTGTCGAACCGCCTCCCTCGCTTGCTTGAACCCTTGTTCCATCAGACTAGCGAGCCCTGCGCCGCCCCCCCCGGGTCCAAGAGAGATCCGCAGATCGCCCACGAGGCCCCGGTTGGGCCCGGGCGTTGTTTCGCCCCCCTGAAGAAAGGAAGAAGTGGTTAGCTTAAATTAGAGCAGGTCATAGCAACAGCAACCTGAGCGAATCGTAAGGTCCTCCGCTTGTAAGTGGGAATGAGCGATCAGGAGTACCCTTAACTTTCCAAAAAGTTACGAGTTGGTGAATCGTGAAAATGTCGAAGATAACAAATCCACGCCTGGGTGGCGAATTCTTGGTCGCGGCATGCGAAGAAACGATTGCAGGGAATTGCGGAGGATTTTGACAGAAGCAACAAATATGAAGACGACAAAGGAAACAATCACAAAAATCTAAAAGAGCGAAATTTAATCTGGTAGACATCCAGAGCATCAGACCCAGCACATTCGTCAGTGAGACCACAAGCAATCTTACCTGGGGGCTTGCGGACGGTTTTGCCAGCGCCGGGGGGGGACAAACAACGTGCACCAGCACGCCCAGAGCCGCGGCGATTATTTCCGGGTCGCTGAAAGCCTGCCCCCCTGCTGCGTCCAGGATGATCGACATGCCGGTGCGAGAGTCGTCGGAGGCGAGTTGCGCGGAGACGACGGCGCGGTGAGAGTAGGGTGCTAAAGTGACAATTGAGAGGACGTCGAGGGCGGCGTGAGCGGTGTCAGAGGAGTACCTGGAAGGAAAAAACTTGCTCGGGGTTAGCAACTCTGCGAGAAGACCCGGCGTTGCATCGTTCCTATTTGAGCAAGAAAAGTAGATTGG